TATATATATATATATATATATATAACAATTAAAATTATTTTTATATGAAAATGAGGAAAACAGATATTGATTATTAAATTTTATTATAATTGGAAAAATTAAAATCTTCAACATGTCATTTTTTAAGTTATAATGTCACTAAAAAAAATAATCTTAAGTATGCTTGTATAGTATATAATTATAAGTTCAACTTTATTTTTCGAACTTTGAAATAAAAATAATTTTGTGAGTAAGGCATGAAATATTTGACACGCTTAAGTTGATAGATTAATTATTAATTATCAATTTTGGAAACATACGCAGTAGTTAGTTTTATATGCGGGTGTAGAGCATGTGAGTAAAAAAAAGTATTAAAAGAAAATTCTGTTGATGCAATTATGTGAGTGATTGCTCTGAAATGGTGTAAGAACTAAGAAATATAAGAGAAAGGGGGTATGATGGTAATTGTAGGGGGTTTGTATATTTATGTGGGGATGACCTTTTCTTGAACAACACATTATTGTACCCTACAGAATGTGGAGAGGAACGTGGTAAGTCGGTGGCATTGGCACTGTTTCTATAATTGATTCCCTTGGGACAAACGAATGAGTAGTGCGTGAGCCTTAGTCAAACAAAGTGTTGCCTGTCCTGTCTTGTCTTTTTATTTATTTATTTATTTATTTGAGTTGGAGAGGTGAAAACCGGGGGCTTGTGGTCCATTTTCTGAGTATGTACACTTTCACAGCCAAGCGGTTCTGCACAGGCGAAATTTTATAATTGGTCCACCTTTTGAATAAAACAGTACACCACATACTAATGTCTAATGAATCCAGAAACCTTGTTCAAATTGAATAATAATAAAAGCTTGTCAACTTTTTATAATGTATAGTATATGGTGGTTGAGGTTAAAAAACGGAAAATGGAAAATGCAGAGCTACTATGGCGTGTATGGAGGAGCAACAGCACAGTACCCAGTTTATGGAAGTGGACCAGGAGGGATGATGACGGGTGCGGCGGCGTTCTACCCATATCTGCAGTACGGTGAAGGGAGTGGTGGCGGCACCACCGGCGGCTATACTTCAGGCCAGGGTTATGGTGTCAACTATCCCCCTCAGCTCTTTCAGTATTCTCCCATTGCTTCCACTGCAGCAGGTGGCTATGCCCAACACTATGGAACACCTATGTCTCTTGCTCCTTCCCCTGCCTTGCAATCAGGTTTGTTTGTACTCCTTTGATTCTTGTTTTACATTGAATAGACATAAATATAGGTAAATAGGACTCATATGGGTTTTGTTGGACTCGTAATGTGGCACTGCACTAACCTCTTTGACAGTGTGTTTTGCTGTGCCGCAGGCGTGACCATGGCGCTTCAAGCTCCAATTCCTCATCGCTAGAGACTCATCTCAAAACTAGCTATGTCAAAACTTCCCAGTTGCTTCTTGAAGTCTCTCATCATCAACCAACCTTTGCCCTAACCATGGTGCTCTCTCACACACACGCACTCTCTCACTAACACAAAAGAAAGTCCATCAATGGCATTTGGGCTTTTTCTCGCATAACAATGCCCCCCATAGGGGCGAAAATCTTCCTCCTCATTTGGAGAGTCATGCATTCCCTTTTCTCAAAAAAAATCTTGCATCTTTGATCAAAGGTTCCAAGAAGAGAACCAAACCAACGCATGCTATCGGAAATAGTTGTGTTGGTAAAAAAAAAACAAAAAGAATAGCAAAGTCTGGCCCTAGAAAGGCCAGGCCCAAAAGAACCATCTTGTTAACTTGGGCTCAAGGCGGGCTAAGTAAAAGTACAGAATGGTTTTAAAAATTGTAAATGGGAGATCACAGATAGGTGGTAGAAATTAAGCTAGTTCTGCAAAAATAGGTATTCCCTCCAATCACTGCTAATCACCTCTGGATGAAGAGGAACATTTAGCAACCATGGACATTGGATGTCCCAGCTTTTTTGTATGGTAACATCTAGCTAGTCTTAGACTTTTAGTCTTAGCATAAATATGTTTTTTCAACTTCATTTCAATTTTCTCAAAAAAGGGGTTTAACCAACCAACCAATTGACAATCTTCCCTTTGGGTAAGGGGAGGCAATACCTAACTACTGTTATTTTTTTTTTGTTCCTGTAAATTCAATGATGAGGCTAAACTATGGGAGTTTAAGCCAATCCACTAATCTTTAGGAGGGATAGTGTTTTATTTTCCCGCTTAGCATAAGTAGTACATTTCATCATCATCTTGAGAACTACATCAATGGATTGTGGGACTCAAACACTTGCATGGAACCCTGGGAGATATTTTGGTTCCCTTGGGTACTTCACTTACTCACCAACCATGGTTAGGACATAGGTGAATCTCATCACTCTCTATCTCTCTCTTCCTTCCTCTCTTCTCCTCCTCTTTTATTTCTATCTGTCAACGTTTACATCGAGATGGACCTTGATACTCTATTAATTATATGTTTAAAGCCTATATGGTTTGGATTGTAATTAGGAAAGCTAAATTAGGAGGAGTTCATTCTCTATCCATGCAGGATGAGAATGGATTTGCTACTTATTCTATTATGTCTTTAATTTGATACTATGTTTGCTTTCTTTTCAACCTATGTCAAGATAAGCAAATCAAGTTAATGCTTCGAGCAATGTTCAACTCTTTTTTTTTTTTTGTTATATTTCAATCAAGAATATTTTCTTATATGGTAAGATCTGGTCTGTGCTAAAAGTGAAGTATGCATAGGAAAAATTGTTGAAGCATTTGTCATCACTCTTCAACTTTAAAATTAGTTCTTTTAAATTCTCAACCTACTATCGATAAATCTGTCAAGACGCTCATAGTCCCATCGCATATATGATGGATCTAAATTGAATTATTCTTGTGAGACTTTTTTCCTCTTTTTGTTTTTTTTTATCCAAGCTTTGTAACCTTATCATTGTTATATGAAAGATGAACTTATTTTAAATTAATTCAATAAATAATAGTTTAAAAACGCATCTAAAATCTGATCAGTGTTATATGAAATTGTTTGGGCTTTATTGATCTAATATGTAAATTTTGAATGCTGAGAGCACATTTTTTAAAACTTATTAGTTGAATTTCATGTGGGTCCAATAGTGTTATTTGATTGAATCAATTTATAATTTATCTAAAAATTTTAATGCTAAAGAGATGTTGAAAAAGTGTGGCATTGTAAAATACAATTCTCTGTAAATCATGAAGAGTGATAGATTACAAAGTTCTAAAAATAGTTATGCTACAATAAGTTTAAAAAATTACATATTGTGAACTTTTTTTACTTAACATAATTTGTCCGAAATAATTCATACAGCATACAAATGATGACTTTCTTTTCATTATTTGCAAAGGGCCACATGGTTTATTGTTAAAATCAATTTCATATATCGCGACATTCATTCTAAACTTAAGCTTGATATTGAGATTAATTTAGACATGGACAGTTCAAAATTTATTGTACCAAATTTTTAAAGTGAAAGGACATTTGGCATAGTGTAACACAAATAGAATAAGGTCTATATTAGAAAAGATTATAATTTCACATTTCAAACTATTTTATTTTTAAAAAAATGCGTTTAAGAGAATAACTTAAATTTATAAACAATTCTTTTCTATAAAAATAAACTGCTTTCATAAAACTAAAAAAGTTATAAATTGTGATTATTTCTCGATAGCTTTTTCCTCCCTAAAGGTAACTTACAACATAAAAAATTGAAATTTTCTTTTTATCTAAACAAAATTAAATATCTCAATCACTTTAGTGCAAACTTATCCAACAAAAATTCAATTTAATTATAATCGATTATTCAATAATAAATTATTAAACAATCTAAATTTCACAAACATATTCAAAAAGGCTTCAAAATCTCACCTATTTAACTAAATAATTTCATTCAAAAAAACACCTCTGCATTGAATATGTCAAACTCAAATTAGATCGAGCCTTGCATATTCTCACTCTTGCTCACTAGTTTAACTATTTTTGTTACCATAACCAATGCCTTAAGGATAGTCGTTAACATTCTCCTTCATGATATACCACAATGAACAGGGTTTAATTTTGTTTTTATCAGTTGTAAAAATATGCTACAAATTAATACATACATTTTAAGCTATAAAATGCTATTAGTAATTAATAAACTATTATGCGAATAAATTTTGAACATATTTTTACTGTTCTACATCAGATATGTAATAATACATGAATTGTTCCAATCGCGTCCATAAGATAAAACATATGGCAAACCTGACATACAGAGATTGAAGCCACCAAGTTATAACAAAATGCTTCCCTTCTAGTACTAATGTTGCTGTATGATCTCATCTCAAATGATCATAGACAAAAAGCAACAGCAAATCGATGGGAATCATCAAAACATTGACCCTGAGAAGCATAATTGCTTGATTAGGACGCCTCTTCATGATAAAGGTGGAGCCCCAGGCCAAAGCGTGCACAAGCTCTACGAAAAGCCATTGCTTCGGCCTTCTGTACAGGATCTCCATAACTTGTGTCATCTACCGAAGCAGTACCAGTTGATTCCCTAAATATCTAGAAAAATAAATGGGGTTTACCTAGTCAGTGAGACAGAATAAACAGGAACTAACAAACAACTGAAGTTTATCTGCTCATTTTCTGATTCAAACACCATAGCTATATTATTTCACTGTGTTCAAATATACCCAGAGACAATCGAGAACAAGGGCAAAAAGTTCAAAACTATAAATCAGCAATGATGGCAAATAAAGTCCAAAGGCTAAAGATGAAAAAAGCAATTAACATCCCTATAAATTTAAATTCAGTTGTTGAGAAATATATGGAACATGTTCTAAGCTCTCCTTTGTGCCAGTTTCAGGGCTTTGCAAAAAAAAAACATTGTGAACCAAACCAAATTGAACAGAACAGAACAAAAAATAACTAAACCAATGATACAATTTACATTTTACAGATTGAACCAATTCAGCAATCCAAACAGCTTTGCCTGCACCAATTCTATATTGTAAAAACAGGTTTGAGAACAGCTTCCAGCGAGAAGGAGATATGACATTATGGCATGCTGCAAAGACCTTTCATATTCTGGCAATGAACAATAGTTTTGTGCACAGCTGGGCATCATGGAAAGTTGGAATAGGTGGAGCCTCAGTGACCAGCACAGCCCTATTTTGTTCCTCTTCATCTAAGTGCTGTGCCATTAACTGCTTGAGCCTCTCTACTGATGCCCATTAGACCTTCCAGATTCCAGTTTCAGGGAGATGTTCTTAATGATATTAACAAAACCGGTTCTTGATTAACCAGTTTATGAACAGGTTTGGAATTGGTATTTCAAACCTGAGAACTAGCTCATCTTGCATCTTGGTCCATGAGATATGACAGGTTCAAAGAAACTAAATTTCTAGTTTGGTTGAGTTTGGGTTTTGAATGCAGAACTAAAATGTGAGCAAGCCTAATCAATTTAGCTTCACAGGAAAGAACAAGTCACCAAGCGATTCTTAACTTGGTTTGTTAACCGGAGTGTGTCAAATACTTTAACATGTTTTAACTTTTAAAGCCATGTGTGTACACTGTACAGACATAGTTGAAGTATTTTACTCTAATAGTAGATTCACTTTCTTGGCATCTATTAAATTTGGATATAGTAAATAATGGTGAATACAGCCCAGTGAATGTTTGCATGAGTTATGCATTCATTACTAATAATGTAGGATAGATAGGGCGGTTCAAGTTTGCTGAAAATGAATATGATATAGAAAGCAGTAGGATAGGTACCTCAGCATCAGTCCCATAAAGGGTAACTCGGTAGACAACGGAGACAGACTTGGCATCGGCGGAATAGGTGATATTCCGAACCTCACCAGACCACTCTATGATTAGCATAAACGAAACGAAAGACACCACATTATTATTAAACAACAAGGCAAAGCATAAAAGAAAAGGAAAAGGAAAAGGAAAAGGATTAGAGGTGCGTATGCATACCAGGAGCGTGTAAGTTCAAAATGCGGTTCACAACATGCCTGCAAAGAGAGCAATAATATGAATATAGAATATAGAGAAGGAGAGGAGAAATGTTAGGGTTAGGGTTAGGGTTAGGGTTAGAGAATGAAACCAGGGAATGTATCTGATGGGGAAACCGTCGGTTTTCTCGAGGCGGGTTTTGATGAGGGAGTCAGGGACTTTCTTGTTCAGCTCTTTCAGTATTTCAGAGAGAGGTCTACAGATTCCGGAACTGGGAGCTTCCTCTGCAACTTCATCACTCCACTTTGAATAACACCGATTCCACCTCCCACAACCCAATTCTCCGCCTCTCACTCTGCTCAACTTTCTCAGTTTCAACATCTCAAATGTCTCCCACTCTCAACTCTCAACTCTCAACTCTCAACTCTACTCGCCTGCCTTTAAATGGGCCTCGCTAATACCTAATATGGGCCTTATCACATACAAGCCTTTTCAAACTTGTTTTTCATTTCTCTTTTTCCAAACATTTTTTTTCTATTATCCATTTTCTAACACTTCCATTGATAAAAATCAAAATATAGGTTTCAGGAATAAGATTTTTAAACTTCCACTATAAAATAGAATATTTATATACCCATCCTAACATTCCCAACCATGTAAATGCAATAGAAAATAAAATAAAGATAAATTTGGTGTTTTCACCTAGCTTCCTTCTCATTTTCCTGTTCATAAAATTTATCTGATTTAGAGGAATCTATAAAAACTAAATTAATATATTTAAAAATAATTTACATATTACGCACATTCATGTGCAATATTAGTTTGTTTTCGCAATAGTCTTGTTTTCTAAATTATATATTAATATTTACATATATTTATAAGTTAATAGTTTTGGATTAATTAATTTATATGTTCCTGCATTTCATGTTTAACTCTTTTATTATATATATTTTGTGTTTTATATGAAAAGGTTAATAAGTTACATATAAAACAAATAAGGATTTATTTATCGTTCTCTAACAAACTAAAATAAAACAGTAAAATTGATTCAATTTAAAAGAAGCATTAAATTGATTTAGATTGAATTTAACTTCAAAATCAAAGTAATTAGATGAGATTGAATCAGATTTTTTTTCCTCAAGAAACTTATCAAATCCAATTAATTAATACTTGTATTTTTAATAACCCACCTATAAGCAAATTCAATAATATGCATAGCCATGTCATGTAATTCCCAAATCTTATATTATGATACACCTTATGAAGTCTGAACAAAAGTCGACAGTTACTAAGTCAGCCTTTCTAAACTTTATTAACACATTAGATGAGTGTCTTGGAACATTAAAAACAAAGTGCCTTAATATAATGCAAGCTATTATTATTATATTATTAAAAGGCCCAAAAGTAATTGTTATCTAGAATTTTACATTTCATATGAAACTAGAAGAGACGAATAGTGAATCAAATGTTAACCATTTGTTGTATATTAATTGGGTAACTATCATCGGGTGGTCCATTAACAGCTCTCCAGGCAAAGACATATATTGCAGATTCTGTAGGGTGAAAGGCATCCCAAAACACGTACTGATTTCTTACTATGCATGGAAATTGCAATGGGAGGCACGTTAATTGACCTCGGTTCCTTCCAATCCCACAACAAGCTCTATCCACAACATTAAACGCTGCAAACACAATCATTTCATCAATTATGCAATTAATTTGTTTCAGAATGGATTAGTATATGATATATATCTTACAATAGGCCGCGGGGTTATTTAGGATATCGCCAAGGACACGGTAAGTGTTACCGTACGCAAAGATAGCATCGGGATATTGTTTGTTCAGTTGGTCCACCATTGATCGAAGCCTTTCATTGAAGGTTCCAACCATCTGATTAACAAAGTCCACGCATCTTCCTGCTGGGGCCAAAAGTGTGGCTCGAAGATTCGGGATGCAACCCAGTGGCCCAATTCCTCCTACGAAGAACTTCCTTAATCCTAATCTATGTAGTGTCTGCATCAATTAATTCAACATTTTTCAACTCAATCTCTTTATATGTGAAAATGAAATATAAGAGATAAGAGAGAAAATTTAATTACCAAAACTTGTCGCACAAGGCTATCAGCAAGAAGATTGCCAAACTGTTGGGTAGTATAATTATAACTGGTGCCATATAACCCGGGCAAGAGGTAGTTGTTGATGTAGTCATTGTTTCCGGTCACCACAACTGTTAAAGACTTGGCTAAGAACTGATTCAATGCAGTTGTGTTCATCATTGTCCTATACTGATTCAATGTGTTCTCAAAGTTCTGGACTTGCTGGCCCAGGCTATACCGATCACCCTGCATACATCATGGTGCTGCAACCTTTAGACATGTCTAGTAACATGAAAACTAGACTGTAATTTTACATGTTATGTTATAATTTGTTGTGTCCTACACTATTTTTAAAAGCTAAATATAATAAAGAAAAGTGTGTTAAGTACATAGTGTCTCCCTGACTCTTGAAGAATGCCGGAAGCAGCTGATGCATAATTCACACCAGAAAGTATTCTAGCTCCAGTCGTGGAGGGGTCTGCAAAAGGTGGTGGAGAAGGAACACCCAGCATTGCTCCTGTCAAGTTAAAAATTATGAGTCTAGAGTGAGACAACTATTGAATAAATTTCTTTATAAACACTTCCGGTACAAAAAAAAAATAATAAGTTTTTTTTATAATTTAATTTTAACTTTTAGAAAATAATAATGTTATATTAAAACAAAAAGAATGCTAATGATACTCTCTTTCAGAACCGAAATGTCCCCATAGGTAAGAAAAAGGAATGTCCATATTGATGTAGTAGATGCATAACAGTGATTGTGAAATTAGATGAGTTACCAAAGAAGTCAATGAGGGATCTGCCATTAGAAAATCGGCCAGTAGAACCCCCGTTGAAGTCGATGCCGTAAGGATAGTAATTTGACCTTGCGATGGTGTTGAGGAAGTTATTGTTGCCAACTTCAAGCAATGAGTCTCCAAACGCAAACATAGCAGGTACCTTCTGTGTCTGTGAGTTAACCTCTGCAATCCCATCCAAGCATAGCAACAATGCAAGCATTGCTGCTGCTGTGCTCCCATGATTCCATCCACCCTTGTTCCTCATTAGAATAGCAACCAAAGATGAGTGAAAAATGAAGGTTGGAGTTGGAAAAGACGTTATTATTATGCACTCTATATAAAGGTCTGGTGATCATTGTTCATTAAGAAACGCTACTGCAAAAGGCCAAGCCAACCCCATGAAGTATGTTTTTGTGTGCCTTTTCTCACGTTTTTCGTTCCTCTTCGCAATTATCATTTTCCGTTTTCATCTTCTTTGTGTCATGCTGATAAACTTTGGTGTGTCTTCTCCATTATTTTCATGCATGTTGATGTTACTTGTCACAATGTTTTGATGAGAGTAACCGCTTCTTTCTTTTTTTTAAGAAAAAAGTAAGGACGGAAATTGCTCGCACTCATCACTTTTTATGCTTTTTTAACTCTTACGAAAGATAGAGCGTGAAGAAATATATAGAAAACGTATGAAATAACGTTTTAATATATGTATGTAACAGAGCTCTAATAATAATATACATCAACATCAGTTACAATAGTACGACAAAATTTAACCAATGATAGATCAGATGTAGATTGTGGAGAAATAGAAGTAAAACTAGATAAATAGGATGAACTACAACTGATCAAGATACTCAACCTCGAGCGTTAAAGTGGGTTGCTTTTAGCACAATTTTGGGAGTTAGATGAGGATATTTAGCAGCAGAACAGGCGAACCATGGTTCAAACTCCGTGTGTACGTGGATTTTTAGTTCATTGACACTTTAAATCCAAATTTCAGTAAGTTGCAATAAATTCAAGAAGAAGAAAAATTAACACAATAGACTGATCTAATTACCTTAACTCATCACAAGTTCATTAACCAAAAATTACTAGTTAAAATGATTTGGCATTTATATTTCTTAACTAAGGATGGAGGCATAATTTTTTGCAAGTATTAAGTTGTAATTTAAGATATCACTTTATTCTTATAAAGTGGACTCGATGAGAAGTTATATTTCTTTTTCAAACAAAAATAAATAAATTCATTAAGTGAGTAAGAGTGACCCATCCAATTTAATGAGTTAAATGGGTCATGTTGGTGAATGAAACACTTGATAGTTCCTACTCAAGTTATTTTCTACTCAAAATTTCTATAAATTAAATTTAGTAAATTAACTTCCACTCAAAACACATAAATCAAAACATTAAATTTAATTAACAAAACAAAAATTCTTCTTCTTTTTTTTTCAAACTTACATCTCACGTTTTATAATTTTTTCAAATTTTTTTAACCTTCCACTAAGTTTTTTTCTAAGGGGGTGTATTAGTTTAGGATTTTGTAGGATTTTAAAAGACTTTTTTTGAGTAAAAAAGTTAATTGGTATTCAATCAGAATTTTATGTCACTTAAAAATAATCCAGTGGTATTCAATATGGATTTTCAATTTAAAGAGTCCATTAAAATCCATTGGTATTCATTTGAGATTTTTTACAACTTAAAAACAATTCATTGGTATTTAAAAATATAAGGATTTTAAAGGATTGTTGTGTGAGAGGGATTTTGAAGGACTTTTTAGTGTTATCTATAAATACCAAATTCATAAAATAATCTCATCCAAACCCATCGGATTTTGAAGGATTGTTTGAAGTGACTTTTCAAGTATTTCAAGAATTTTCAAATGAGTTTTTCATCTTTTTTTTTTCTATGCTCCTGTCTTCTCCATTTTTTTTCTGCTAATAATATTGCACTATTGTTCATTGCTCATATATAATATTATAGTATTGTTCCCATTCCATTCCCATATTTTATGAAACTCTGATATGTAAATGATAGTGTCATTGACTTGCTCTATTTTTCTGTTTGTTCTCTTTAGTTGACTTGCTTTATTTTATTTTATGTAGTTGAATTTGTTCTTTTATATAACACAAAAAATGCTTGAAATTTTAACTTTTAAGTGGTAATTTTTTTTATAACACGCGTCAAGAAAAGGAAAAGGTGAAAGATGAAATTGATATCATAATCTATAATATATTTTTTTTACTATGAATTTTTTTTTTTTTTTATATTGTGAAATTATGATTTTTTTTATATTTTTAAAAAAGAAAATTAACATAAGACATTGCGGTATCTAATATTATATATATTGCATATGTAATTAGGTAAATATTTTTTGGTGGATTGTGAATTTTCTAATCAACGCCAATTTTTAGACCACCCCCATCTTGGAGCACCAGCGTACCCGTGAAGGAGGCTCACCGATCTTACCTGGCAGATCAGCTCTACACCAGATTTCCGGTAAGAAAATTTGGCGCCCACCGTGGGGCCGATCGAGACAGCCCTTATCGGCCACCTGTATGGTTTTCACCAGAAGCCATAGCAGACGAGTAACAGACGACGCTGAACACTCAATCACCATGGATAGCGACGCCGCAACCTCGAGAAGACTGATCGACCAAGTCAAACAGATGCGACAGCAGCATGACACCGACCTGCGCAACATGCGCGCCAAGCACGAAGCTGACCTAGCGGCAATGCAGACAGCTAATGAAGCAGACCTCGTAGCGTTACGTGAAGAAAACGAGCGCATTCGTGCCCAACTCCCTTGACGCCCCTCTGATCGCCCTCCTCACGGGAGCAACATCCATGAAGACGAGGCACACTCGGCCTCTCAATCCCGGACTGCGACCAGGGCACCGACTTCACAACCCTCCACGCACCGATCTCATGCATCGACGCACAAGCCGGGCCCAGATGTCAGCAGAGCACCCACACGTGCCACAGAAGGCCATGAAATCTTCCGCCGACATCCTTTTGTGGACGGCATCATGGAGACCCCACTCCCTCTTAAAAGTCATGAAAATCATGCAAAGTCTTTTAAAATTCGTAAGATTTTTTTTAACTAAAAAAATCCTTTAAAATCATAATCCAATACACCCCCCTAAATTTCAGACACGAGAGTTTATTCAAAATTAGAATCCCTGCATAGCGCTGCGCCTTCCTAATTAATTGGGTTCTGATACAAAACGTAAATGAAAATTTGTGCTTTCCCTAAATATGCATGTTGCAAGCCCAATAACTAGGAACATATTTTGATGTTGGGCTGCCAAAGTCCAAATTTAGTTATGATATAATGACATTTTATGATGTTGGGCTCGACACAGTTTACTAGTCTGACAATATTTTGAAGGCTCATGATATATACACATGTATATTTTTATAAGTACACCTCTTTTATTTATTTTTTTAATTATAAAATATTGTAATTTTTTTAAAATTTTCTAATTTTACACCTTCAACTTTTAATTTGCTACTTTCTTTTTTTCATACATTTTTTGTTCTCTTTCAATTTTCACATATTAACAAAATAAGTGGGGTGAAAGAAAAGTAAGGGAGTATATATAAAAAATTTATTAAAAAAAGGGAAAATGTGTGAAAAAAGGTATTAAATAAAATTTTATAAGTGTAAAATAAAAAAAAATTTAAAAAAAAATTAAAATTTTAATTATTTTTTAAAAAAAAATTTACTTATAGAAAAAAAGAGGTGTATATATCATGAACCTATTTTGAAATTTATTGATATGTTGTTATAATGGAGCGGATGACACATTTGTAAACTGTAATCAACAACTAATTATGCTGGATGCCCGGAAACGTTTGCTATTTTTTCTTGAGTTAAGTTTTTAACCTCTCAACATTTTAAAAATTTAAACTTTTGTCTTTCTTATTTTTTTTTCTTCTAATTTTTAATCTTTTATTAAATTTTGTCACATAAATTAGTCCTTAGAATTTACTCTTATTAAGTGATAATGTGTGTTGATAAATTATGATTGAATCAATCATTGACACTCATATGACTATTTAATAAGTGTAAAATCATATAATAAGTGTAATTTTATTATTCATTCATGGTTATATTAGTAAAAATTTATTTTAATGTCATTTATTTTCAAAAAATAATGTCTGACCATAAATAAATAGAAAAATTACATATATCATATGATTTAATATTTACTAGATAGTCACGTAAATATTAATAGTTAAGTTAGTCATAATTTATTAATATATATTATCAATTAATAAAGAAGACTTGGTTCTAAAAACTAATTTATGTAATAAAAAAAATAATGAAAGACTAAAAGTTGACAAAATATTCAAGAGGTACTAAAAATTGAGTTCATAAAAAGTTAAAAGACAAAATTTATTTAGCTCTTTTAATAAAGATAATATGTATTTTTTTATGTACATATGTTGTTGACAGTTTTATCTCTAAACTTAAAAAAAAAAAATCTCTTCCATGCTTTTTTTTTGTGTAGTTTTAATTCTTTTTCTCTTTATTTCTTTGTAAATTTATTTTTTTAATGTATTATATCCTTTAAATAATTATTCAAAACTACTCACACTTTCTAATGGTTAGATATTCACACATATTTAATATTAATTAATTTTTATTATTTTTACATAAATACTAATAGACCTGAAGTGTTTTTTTTATGTTAGTTAAAAAATTAATAATTTCGTAATTATGCTTTATGACTTTAATAAAAAAAATCATGTGTTTTATTTTCGGCCTACGAATTTTAAATGGCCTCAAATAAGTCTTCCTTAGAGAGATTAAAGAAATAAAACAAAATGTTAAAAACAAAAGACAAAAATTGTAAAAATATCCTTATCTACGGATTGGCTTTTCCGACTTTTAACCACCATTTCTCATCACATAAGTTTTTTTTAACTCAAACTGAAGCGCTACGTCAAGCTATACAAAATAAATAAATACATAAATAAGAAAGATGCAACACTTATACCTCGAGTTGAAAAGAAAAAAAAAAAGATAAAACATATTTTTGAACTCTCTAAATTTATTCAAATTCATTTTTAGTCTTTTTAAATTCATTTGTCTTATTTTAATTTTTTTAATTTTTAAAATATATCATTTTTAGCTCTCTAAATATATTAGATAATGCCTAAAAAGTTATTCATCTTCTAATCACAAACTATTATATATAGTGAATTTGTTGGCTTTTATCATACATTAAAAGTATTTTAAAAATAATTATAAAATACTATTAAAAATATTTTAAATATTAAAAGTAGTGTATTTCAAAATTAGAGGAACTAAAATAAAATAAAAAAAATTAAAAAAGACTAAAATTAAACTTAATTTTTTTTAAAAGAATGAAAAGATATATATTTTAACGAAAAAGAAAATAATAATAACAAAAATGAAACACGTCGTTGTGTCTTACTCTTACGCACTATGTGATACATGATTTTTAAGTATACCTCACGTGAGAGTCGCAGTAGTCTATTGCATCTTAATTGAGGCAACAACCCATCTCTAGGAATGACAATAAGCTCACATGGAAGTGCATAGTAGGATATTTGTATTTGTTCTCATATTCGTGTGAGTATAAATACTTATAAATATTTATGAATATTTGTAAATTATTTTAAAAATAAAAAAAAAATATTATAACCTTTAAATTTATATTTGATATTAAGAATATTGAAATATTAAAAATAAATAATTTTTATTAATTTTTAAATTTGTAATTAATGATAATTTTTTTAAAATATTAAAAATAGTATAAAAAAATATAAGATAAAAATATGAATATCGTGAGTATACATACTACTATACTTGCCTTATCTATAAATGAATAAAAATATATTTGTACTTATTATCTATAAGTGTCTATTTAGATTATTCATAATAAATTTAATTCATATATACTCGTAGGTACGAATATTTTTTTCATCCATAATTACGTCCTTTACTTAGTATACACTTAGAAGCCAAATGTATTATTTATGTTTAAAAATATATTAAAAAACATGTAACATGAAATACAAAATATTTACATGTGTTTTTCAATGTAAATCACTTGAAAGCAATAATATGTTTTAAAGTAGTCTCACTTTGCAAAATAGTTTTCAAAAATACCCCCACTTTGCTCAAACAATTTAAAAATACAATTTTAACTTTATTATTTCTTATCTACTATTTACAAATATTAGATATATTAAGGATAAAAATATCTTTATGAAAAAATCAATTTTTTGTCTACTTTTCTATGTAATCAAATTAATAAAAAGAAAGCAACGTAATTGAGTTGGTTGTAGTATTAATGAGAAGTATAGGACAGTGTCAGTGCCCTGAATCCTGCAAGTTTCAGGTACAAGATGGGAAGGACAATACGTACGTACACACGATCCTTTGGGATTTCCATGTTAATGCGCGTGACGTGAGACTCAACAATCAACATTAACACTGCATGCCTACCTTCGCTGGCTTAACGCGTTTACGCATACTGCTACATTGCTCCCCTGTCCTTTCTGCCCCCAACTTACCAACATTTCAATAATTTATTTTTGTGAACAACTTAACATTTTTAGTTAAAATATTTATTTTCTTGCAACAAATTTTCATCCACAAGATATAAATTCAAGACATTATTTGCCTAACCCAATTCCACCAATAACAACGAAACATTACTTTCTTATCTTCACTTCCGAGACACAACTAAGAAAGGAGAATAAACAGTAAACACACACACACACGTCTATCCTTTATGCGGATTTTAATTTGCAAATGTTGAATTATGTCATGCTGATGTACATATGACCCATGCCATGGGGTAGAAAACTCACTTGGATCAGGATTCAGGATTACCTCCCTCATTTTATAATCCACCATCGTGTAACATTTTCATGTTTCTTTGTCTATTATATTAATATACTTCCTTTTTATTGAATTGAGCATTGTGTGAAGAATATGCTAGATGTATAGTACATTTTGAACAATCTTTCCATTCATAGGGCAATTAATTACCAAATAAGTTGGGATGGTGAATAAAATATTTAGCCGTCTCTATTAAAAACCTAACCAATTTAACATCACATCGGTGAAAGGCACAAATGTAGCAGCAAGTTGTTAGAATTGCAATTAAGAAGTTGCCTAGAACGGAGTGGAAAGTTACTTGACAAAAATTAACACTAATTGCAATGTGTCAGTGAGTGTAACCTAACCAACTTGAAGTAATAAAACTTTAACTACTTGACAAATAAAGGATGGTATGTTGTGTAGCACCTTCTGTTGCAAATTACAATTGCAATTGTACTTGAGTATATAGTATAGTTGGGAGAGAAAGGGTTACCCGAGTTGGAAGTTGGAAGTTTGAAGTTTGAAGTGTCTACAATACATAAACCCGTGAAAGGCTTGAAGGGTGAAAGGGTGATTTGAGTGATTAATATTAATGTGCATGAGTGAGGAAGGAGAAGGCAAAGAGGGGTCAAGGAAGCGGGCGCGTGGGGACGGTACGTTTCGGAAATAAGGTTGCCGGGCCAGAAAGGGCGCATATGGCTGGGCTCATTCGGGTCGGCTGAGATGGCGGCTCGGGCTTACGACTCGGCGGCTTTCTTCCTCAAAGGAGCCTCTGCCATCCTTAATTTCCCCGACCTCGTCGACTCCCTCCCTCGCCCTCTCTCCTCCTCCCGGAGAGACATACAATCCGCCGCTGCCATGGCCGCCCTCCACCACCCCACCGGAGACGACTCCACCACGACGTCGTTTCAGGATGTCTTGGAAGCTCCTCTTATGAGCCCCCCCTCCGCTTTGATTCCACTTTCGGAGACTTTTCATGGAACCAAGTCTTTGATCACATTCTCATCATGGAATCAACAATAACATCCTCTCTTCTTTAACGCTTCTTTTGCAATTACTTTATTTCTAGTACTAAACAAAACCTCTTATTATGTACTCATCACCAATAAAGGACCACTCCAGACTAAAACTTGTTACTCACACACTGCTTTCACTGTTAACCATCTTAATTCACTTTCATATATTTTTATCACTAGAAGAGAAATAAGAAAAAGTATAAGAGAAAGAATAGTAGAAATATATGCAAAAGATATGTTTATTATCCTTAATATTACATTTACACGATATAAAATAAAAGGGTAAATTTATCATTTCTCTTTATTTCACGAGTATCACATTCTTAACACTTTTCTTTTTTAATAAATTTCTTCAGTCTTGGTGAGAGAAGGTTTAGTTTCATCTTAGTTACTATAAATGAGAACAAATTTGGGTAGATTTAGATTGGGTTAAGTCATAAATGAATGGATGGGCTAAAACCTTTGGGTTTATTTTTTTGGTCGATAGACCCTTGAATTCTTACTAGTACTATATTTAAACTTCTTTTTGGGTTGTTAGTATGACCCGTAAATTAGATTCCTTCTGGTCTTCTGCTTCTGCAGCCAACATTAAATTAAAATAAAGGAGAAGGACAAATACAATATTATAAAGGGATAAAAACCAAATGATAAAAAGAGAAATAGAAATCAGAGAAAATAGTACTGCAGAGGTCCAGGTTCAGGCCCATTTATTATCTCTATACTAAAACATTCAATTTATTTATGTATGTAACCGTGGGCCTGTCATCTTCACCCTTAACTTTTCTTTCAAAATAGAAATGGATGTGTGAAGAATAGAGATTGTTTTTTTTTTTTAATTATTTATTATGAGAAGTAGAAGGATATCCGTTAGAGCTGTCAAAACGGGCCAACCCGGCCCATGTGGGCCGGCCCACCTTGA